CTATGTTTTCTCCCAGGCAGAGGAAGAAACCAGGGAGGAGGAGAAAATATGAGGAGTGTGAATCCTTTCCGGATGTGAAAACCAGAGTGTTGCCAAGTGGGAGATTTCCAATCCTGGTGCTCCTGTGTCTGCTGATCCTACGGCAAAGAGGAGCTCTCCTCCTCTGTGTTTTGATTGATTTATTTTTGATCACTGTGCACTCACGGATGCTTTCTTTCTACTGTAAGTCATCATCCAGGATCATCAGTGACCTTGATGTTGAAGTGGTCCCAGAATTAGTCAAAGATTTTTTTTTGAGCTGGCTCTCGTTCCCCCTATGGTTCCTTAAGCATGCCCTTACACTGGCCTGAGAAATTGTTTACAACGCATCTGGTACTTTCTCTGGACTAATGGGAGTGGGGTGCAGCTACCCCTCAAAGCAGCCGTGTTTCTCTTTAGGGGAGATCAGGACTGCTAGATCAAGAATGAGGCAGTAAGTATGCTATTGGTTTTAGTCCTTCCCAAATGATAGAGAGAATGTATCTTATTCTCTCTCTCTTACACACACACACACACACAAACACACACAGGTCTCCGTATTTACCTACCTTTCATACCTATCCTCTATATATGTGCATATTAAAATGTACACGACTAGGCAATGCTTGCACAGGTTGGACGTGGTTTGGCCCCTAAGTTCACAGGCTGGAGCATTGCTTGTGCAAATGGCAGTGTTAATTTGATGGAATCTTGACCAGGTGGGGCCTTGAGGATGGTAATTAATCACAGGGGCCCTGCCCTCATGGGTGGACCAACACCATCTCAAGGAAGTGGGTCAGATCGTGTGGGACTGGCTTTGTTTTCACAAGGGCCGGCAGCTGGGCTGTAACTCGGGTTTGGCCCCTGCCCCCTGTGGTGGCTTTTCTTTCCTCTCCCAGCTGTGAGGCAGCCCAAGGGGCCCTCACGAGGGCTCTGTGCACTGTCTAGCCACAGGAACCCAAGCCCCATCAACCTCTACTTACTGAGTACTCAACTTCCAGCTCCAACTCTAAACGGGCCTCTTCCAGTCTTCCCTTATATTGGAGGCCCGGTCTCTACAACGGTTCTGAGTAGTTTGACAAGGGGTTACTTGCTGGCCCCCCAGGCCCTTCCCCTTAAGCCCCTCCTCTCATCTCCTCAGGCAGTCTCTCCTTCATAAAGACTGAGACACTCCCAAAACTTGCCAGTTGTTGAAGGGAAGGTGCTGCCGCTGCCCACTCTCCACTCTTTGCCTCCTGCCCCGACCCCCTGACTCTGGAGGAGTTCCTCTCACCGCTCTTGGCTTTCCTCCACCTGTTAGTCCACACTGCCCAGCCTTCCCTTCCTCCTTGGGCCGGCCTGCTCTGCCACTGACAGCCTGGGCTTCTTCAACCCTTCCTATGCTTGGGGTGGGGTATGTCTCCTCAGTTTTAGGGTTCTCCAGTGGAAAATATTTGTTCAGAACACAAGCAGAGAAGCAAGCATGTTGGGTTGGAGCAGACCTCCATAATGCCCAATTTGAAATGTTCCCAGGGACCCTAACTGCCTAGAGCAGAAAGCTCCCATTTAAAATATATATATATATATATATACATATATATATATATATTTATTTGTATTGTGTAAAGACAGATTTACAGAGAAAAGGAGAGACAAAGATCTTCCATCTGCTGGCTCACTCCCGAAGTAGCTGCACTGACCAGAGCTGAGCTGATCCCAAGCCAGCAGCCAGGAGCTTCTTCTGGATCTCCCACGCAGGTGCAGGACCCCAAGGCTTTGGGCTGTCCTCGACTGCTTTCCCAGGCCACAAGCAGGGAGCTGAAGGAGAAGCGGAGCCGCCGGGATAAGAACTGGTGCCCATATGGGATCTAGATAGAGTCTTTAAGGTGAGGACTTTAACCACTAGGCTATTGTGCCAGGCCCAGAAGCTCCTGTTTTTAACACAGGGTCTACGAGGCCTTCACCATTCAGCTTCCATCTCCTTACTCTCCTGCCTAAGCATACCCCACGCTGCCCCACCGCCCACCCTCGCACCAGGTAGGAGAAGCTGCGTCCTGAGCACTTTGTAGACTGGTACCCAGGCAAGGTCTGAAGTCTCTGGCCAAGGGGCAGGTGAGTGAATTTGGCTCTGTTGGACACTGCAACCTTGACAAAGCCAAAATCACCTGGCTGGACTGCTCCTGGGTTCCTGACCCTTCCATACCGTGAGACAACAAATGCATTATTTCAAGACTGAATTTGGCAGAGGAGTTGGTGTTGTGGCATGGTGGGTCAAGCTGGTTTGAGTCCTGGCTGCTCCTTCTGCGATCCAGCTCCATGCTAATGTGCCTGGGCAGGCAGCAGAAGATGGCCCAAGGGCGTGGGTCCCTGCCATGCCTGTGAAAGACCCTGTGGAATTCCAGGCTCCTGGCTGCTGCATAAGCAGCCCAGTGGATGGAAGCTACATCTTTCTCTTCTGATTCTGCCTTTCAAATAAATAAATCTTTGCTCTTTAAATGAAATAAAGTTTAATTCCAGGTAATTTGTTTTACAGCAGCAGCTAACTAATTTGCCCAGCTTTATCTCTCTCCAACTACATCTCACTGATTTTCCTGGTCTTGGCGCATATTCTTCTTCCTCCAGGAAGCCTCCCCTGATACCATATTGAAGCTTCTTAGTGTCTCCATGGTTTCTGGCTACACCGCCTGGAGTGTTGTTTAGGAACCACTGTTCTGCCATCTGAGCCTGTGCATGTAGGACAGGCTGATGTCAGGGGTCAGTCTCAGGCCTGGCCAATCAGAACACGCCAACGCCCTGAGACTACCACTTAGGGCTGTGACCTCAGCCGGCCCCAGGGGTAGCCCAGGAGGTGTGCGGAATAGGCTGTCAGTATCTGCAGGGGCTGCTGAGTGGGAGGAGGCTAGCCTACAGTACAGGCGGAGGTGTTGCTGGCATACTGGGATGCCTGTCTAGAGAGGCAGGGGAGGCGAGAAGTACCATCCCCATATGATTGTGGAAGCAGCTGGATTCAGCTGTGCCTGAAATCCAACCCTGATCTGCCCCTCTGGATCTTTTTCGTTTCTCTGTTTCTGCGTATGAGTTGATTTGAGATGATTTCTCTCACCATCAGCTGAAACAACTCAAATCAACTCAGCCCCACAAGTGGAATGTGGGTCCTCCACTCCATCCCCACCGCTCAGAGTCTGGGTGCTGCCCTATACACTTGCACCAGAAATCGGCACCACTGGTCCACTGTCCTGAGTGTCAAGTTGGCTGTTGCCCTATTGCTTCCCGCTCTTCCTATGTGTGCTATGCAGGGTTAAATAATAGTCATTTAAGAAAAAACAAACAAACAAAAAAACTGACCTCCTCAATGGCTAAAATCCTCACCTTGCGAGTGCTGGGATCCCACATGGTTTGTGTCATGATTGCTTTGCTTCCCATCCAGCTCCTTGCTAATGGCCTGGGAAAGCAGTAGAGGATCGCCCAAAGCCTTGGGACCCTGCACCCACACATGTGAAAGACCCAGAAAGCTCCTGGCTCCTGACTTTGAATTGGCTCAGCTCCAGCCATCTGAGGCCATTGGGAAGTGAACCAACAGATGGAAAATCCTCTCTTTCTCTATGCACATCTGCATTTCAAACAAAAATAAATACATCTTTATTAAAAGAACATTTTTTTAAAAAGTATTGATTCATTTGAAAGGTAGGATTACAAAGAGAGAGAAACAGAGATCTTCTATCCAGATCTCTCCTGTGAGTCACAGAGACCCAAGCACTTGGGCCATCCTCCGCAGCTCTCCCAGGCACATGAGCTGGATTGGGAATGCAGCATCTGAGACTCGAACTGGCACCCTTTTGGGAGGTGCTGGCTTCGCTCACTGCACAGTGCCAACCGTGCCGTATTCATTTCTGTAACCTGCCATAAAGCCAGCTTCCTGAAGAGCTGTGGAATGAGTGAGTGGGTGAATGAATGAATGAATGAGTGCCTAGGTGGGTCTAGAGAGTTCAACAGGGAGAAAGAAGAGCCACTTTTGCAGACACCTGTCAGCTACAAGGTCTTAGCTCTCCCTAGTGCTTTGTGAGCTGACAAAGGGTTATTATGTTTTCATCTCTCTGTGCCCATGCTGTGGCTGAACTAGCCACACCCATGGGACACACACCCATCTCCCATTACAGCAAAATGAACCTGACCCAGGCTCAACCCAGCTTAAAAAAACTTTTTCAGAGACAAGAACAGGTCGGAGGGATAATAGAGCATCTGGATTCAGGGAACACTATAGCTTGTAAAACATCCATTTCATTCCTGACTCAGAAAGCCATCATTTCATTGGTGCCTAGTATGTGCCAGATGTTATACCTACCACTTCCTCTTTACAAGGAGTTTTTAGGACAAGTGACTTGGGGATTCTAAAAAGTTGATAGAAAGTGAAAATAAGTTAGGCCTATTTTGGTACATGAAATCTGTGCACAGTTTTGTTGTTGCTTTTTTCATAGTGTGCGTGTCCTTTTAGAAGCATCCCCTCCCTTACTGTGGCTTACTCGCTAATCACTGCCAAAGTTAAGGGCTGAAGACACGGAGCATCTGGTATCCCGCAGGAATCCAGTGGCGCCTCAGCTGGGCACCTCTGGCTCAGAAGGCTCCATCGAGCTGCTGCCACATTATGAGCAGCTCAAGGCTCAACTGGAGTTGAAGAATTGGCCTTCAAGTCCATTCATTGGGGGCAGGGCAGGCTTTCACAGGATTGTCTCCCAATCTGACAGCTGGCTTCTCTAGGGCGGTGCATCCAAGAGACAATGAGAGAGTATCCCGGGCAGCAACCACAAGCTTTTTTCAACCTCATCTCTGGAAGCAGCTCAAGCCCATCCCTTCTGCCTGATCCTGTGGCCCCTTTATAAGGATGCAGGAAGTCCCACCTGCTTTCAAAAGGTGAGCATTAGGCAAGAGGATGAATACCAGGAAGTGGAGTAATCAGGGCTGGTCCAGAGGCTAACTGGCACAGGTAAAGTATGATTATATCCTTCATGGCATACCTAGACACCCAGCAAGTGAAGCAACACGTCCAGGTCGCCCCAGCCAGAGAGCTGAGCGACTCTCAAGTGCTTTCCTGTTTCTCCAAGCCATTTGGGGATGAGGTAGAGGAAGGTGAAGACAAGCTGTTTGGAGACCTCAAGCGAGGTGTTTGGGGAGTGATGAAGGTGCTGCTGGGGATGCCCACATCTCGCACATCGGAGTGCCTGAGTGTAAGTCCCAGCTCCGCTCTCCATTCTGGCTGCCCATTGATGCACATTCCGGGAGGCAGTAGGCAGTGGTTCCAGCACTTGGGTCCCTGCCACACAGGCGACAAAGTTTTCCAGGCTCCTGGCTTCAGGCTGGTCCAAATCTAATTGTTGCAGGTATTTGGGGAGTGAACCAGTGATGAGAGGTCTCTCTTTTTGTCTTTCTATGTATCTGTCTGCCTTTTAGATAAGCAAAACATTGAAAGGGGAAAAAAATGAAAATAGAGTAAGGATTGGTTACCTGCTGTTATGTAACTGATCACCCACATCTTAAAGGCTTAACACAGTTAGTATGCCATCATTTCTTTCTTATTAAAAGATTTACTTATTTTTATATTTACAGAGAGAAGGAGAGACAGAGAGAAAGCTCTTCCATCTGCTGCTTCACTCCCCAAGTGGCCACAATGGGCACAGCTGAGCCAATCTGAAGTCAGGAACCAGGAGCCTCTTCTGGGTCTCCTATGTGGGTACAGGGTCCCAAGGCTTTGGGCCATCCTTGACTGCCCTCCCAGGCCACAAGCAGGGAGCTGGATGGGAAGTAGGGCAATCCGGACATGAACCAGTGCCTATCTGGGATCCCAGAGCATGCAAGGTGAGGACATTAGCCATGAGGCTATCACACTGGGCCCCCAAAATGATTTATTTTTATTGAAAAGGAAAATCTACAGAGTGAAGGAGAGACAGAGAGAAAGCTCTTCCATCTGCTGGTTCACTCCCCAAGAGGCCACAATGGCCAGAGCTGAGTCAATCTGAAGCCATGAGCCTCTTTCAGGTCTCCCATGTGGGTTCAGGGTCTCAAGACTTTGGGCCATCCTTTGCTACCTTCCTAGGCCACCAGCAGGGAGCTGAATAGAAAGTGGAGCAGCTGGGACATGAACTGATGCCCATTTGGGATCCTGGGTGCTTGAAGGAGAATTAACCAATCAAGCTCTCGTGCCAGGCCCTCAACATTTCTATGGATTAGAGATCTGAGAGCAGCTTAGCTGTTTCTGGCTCAGGGTCTCTCAGCAGGCCATAGCTAAGTTGCGTGCAAGTATGACAGCTCTTTTTCATTTTTTTCTTTTTTTAATTTGGAAGAAAGAAATAGAGTACCATTTGCTAATGTACTCCCCAAATGCCTGCCATAGATGGGATTGGGCCAGGCCAAAGCAAGAAGCTAGGAAACTCAATGCAGGGCTTCTATGAGGGTGGCAGGGACTCACCAACGTGGGCCACTGCTCTGCAGGGCTTGCCCAGGCTTGGAAGGCCTGCTTCCCTAGTGGAGGACTCCCCATGGCCGGCCATACACAGCTCTCGTGCCCCGCCTGTGCACAGGCTCTGGTTGGATGCTGGGCACATAGACACTCCCCAGGGAGTTCCCACTTAAGATAAGGAGGTGGGTACTGGTCATTGATGAACCATGTGATCATCAATTGTGCCAAGTTCCCTAGAACAAAACTGTATGGTACAATGGGCTCATGTGACAGGGAACTGGCCTATTCCATATACAGCGTTTGAGTAGTCAACAGGTAACGTAAGCAGGCTGAACAAGTTCAAGTGTGCCTTAAAAAGCTAAAATAGGAATTGCCATTGTGATTTGCAGGTGAAGCCAGTGCCCACAATTGTACAGATATTGATTCAAGGCTGGGCTGCTCTACTTCCAGTCTAGCTCCCTGTGAATGCACGAGAAAGCAGTGGAGGATGGTCCAAATAATGGGGTCCCTGCCACTCACACGGGAGACCCCAAAGAAGCCTCTGGCTCCCAGCAACAGCCTGGGCCAGACCTAGCCACTGAGGTCATTTAAGAGTGAACCAGCAGGTAGATGATTCTGTTTGTTTGAGAGAGGCAAAATGGTGGCAAAGGGTGTAGACGGGTTTGGGATGACGAAGAATCATTAGGGTGAAGCACAAGGAGCAGATTACAGGACAAGTTGGAGGTCAGGCAGCTGCCAGGGGTTACCTGGAGACGCCCCTGGACACAGGGAAGTGGTGGCATCAGCAGAGTGGTGTTGCAGTGAACAGAAAACCCACCAGCAGCTGGCTAGCAGCGACGCAGACTCTAGTGATTTGGGTTCCACTTTTTTTCTCTCCACAGAGGAGGAGACTGCGCATGAGCACTGCTGATTGGGAGAGAAGAAGGGTGGTTCAAGCATATACGGATCTCATGTGTGTGAACTACAGTCCCCAACTCAGCAGCAGTAACGAGGGAGCTGTTGCATGTTTCCACTTCCAAAGAAGAAACTGAAGGATGCTTGGCGCAGTCCACCATGCAGGTGTGGGTCAGTCTCTGAAGCACCTGTGAGCATCCTGCTTGGAGCTGGCTGGGAGCAGGTGCACAAGGAGCACTTGCTGGAGCGAACCCAGGGGGGAGGTGGAGGTGGAAACAACTCCTGAGCCAACAACCGCAATAGCTTCGGGCAGTGGAGTCCGCACCAGGTGCCAGGCACTGCGCCAAGCCCGTCTCCCAGTTTCCCACCTCCCTCCAGGCGGTGCCCTGTGGATATAGACAGGGGTGACTTTCACAACAGGCAGGTGCTGCTAGACCTCCTCTGTGGGCCCCCACAGTAGAAGAAGGAGGACCCCACCACCATCTCCTTCCCTAGAGCGGGAGCCGTGCCCAGCTCAAACCTGGATCATACACCCTCTGAACACCCCCAGCTCAGGACAAATGACTGGCAAAGGCAAAAGCCGGGGGGGCGTTGAGAGCCAGGCAGATGCGCCCGGGACCAAGCACCGAGAACGTGCAAAAGCCGAGGCTTCCAGGCATCCACTGGCGCAGCCGCCCCTCCGTGCTCGGCTCCACCCCCGAGCCGGCCCGCGGGCCCTTTCGTGGCGCGGCGGAAGGGGCGGCCGGGAGGCGCGGCGTCCAATGGGCAGCGCGGGCGTCACTTCCCGGTGGGGGCTGGACGGGGCGGTGTTTTCGGGGGGCGGCGTGGAGGCGGCGGCGGCGGGCTGGGACCCACGCGGCGCCGTGGCCCGCCTGGCCTGCAGCGTTCCCGGCTTGGCGGCGACGGCGGCGGCGGCTGCGGCGGCACGATGCCCTTTGATTTCAGGAGGTGAGTGTGGCGACTGCGGGCGCCCCGCATGCTGCTGAGCCTTGCGTGCAGAAACGGCCCCTCAGCTCCGTGCAGGCTCCGCCAGGCCCTCGGGCGCCCCCGCCCCCTTCCCGGCGTGGCCCTGCTGCCCCTTGTCAGTCCTGCGTGTGGTGAGGGACAAGCCCACCCACCTCCTTCCACTCAACCCCCTCTCCTGTGTGCCGGGACACCTTGCATCAAGCCTCAAAACTGCGAAACAGGTTGAACCCCTCCACACCCGAGGTGGGAGCAGTCCAGTATCCTTCCCCACCTCCCACCTTCCTACTCCAGAACCTCCTGCAGTGGACTGCAGCGGACAGGTGGGGTGGAGCGCCTGCAAAGAAACCCCCAAGAATCCACAGGGGTCTGCAGCTCCATCCGGCCTAGTAACAGCTGGAGGGTTTTAAATTTCCACCCAGAAGGCAGATCCGGAGGCCCTCCCCTGCCTCCACCCCTGCCCCCAGGCCTGGCCCCATGCTTTGGGTGTGGGGACAGGGAGGAGGCAAGGCCTGGGAGTCCCTGCTTCCTGCATCCCCACAATGAGTCTTCTGTGGGATGCACAGCCCTGTGTGCTGGCTGGAGCAGGAATTCTGGAAGGCTCCTGGGGAAGAGGCCTCCCCCTTGACCAATGCAATGAGGTGTGAACCCTGGCCTCATGCATGCAACTACACTGAGGGAGGAGCTGGTTGAGGACTCTGGCCCTGCCCCCCTCTGCTGAGCAGCTCTGTATGTTCTGGAAGTTAGATGCAAAAGCTGTGGCTTCAGACCTCCCACCTTAGGTCTCTGAGCTGTCTGTTTCACCACCTGCATCTTGGGATGAAAATTAGGTCCCCACCTGCAAGCCCTGAGTGCGTGAGGCACACTGAGCCTGGTCTGCCTGGCTTGGAGCTGAGCAATAGGACTGCAGTGGATGGGGGCTTCTCCCCTGGGGAGAGGGGTTGTGTCCATTCGTAATAAGGGAATCCCGGTGCCTGCAGGGACCCCTCCATGGCATTGGCAGCAAGTTAGAGGTTAGGACCTGGAGAGGATATGGATTTTGGATCTCTTGACTGGCTGACGTGGTTTTCCAACCTGTCCTGGACGCTGATAGCATCAGGCAAATATTTACTAACTTCTGGCACCTTGCAGGCAGGGTTTGAGGCAAGGTCACCAGGGTCCCCAAGACATATGCCTATAGACCCCAGGGTGAACCCTCGGATCCCACCAGGTCACTTGTGAGCTGGGGAAGCAAGAGTGGGCAGGTGTATTCCTGGTCCCATAAAGCCTCCGCTTTATCTCAGCTGACAGTCGAAATTCTTCTGTTCTCCTCAGTCCCATGTCAGTGTGTCAGTGCTGGTGGCTTGGGGCTTGTTGGGGAAGTCAATGCTTTTGATCCTTTATTTTATTATTATTATTTTTTTAACTTTGTATCTTACGCTGCACTCCCATCTTGCAGGAAGGAGTTGGGGTGGGTCACAAGGCTGAGGGTTTGTCCTGGAATTCATGGGTGCCAGGTGGGAAGGGTGGGCCTGGGGCCTCAGATCACACATGACCCTCCCATCCTGGTGTTACTCAGTTGAAGTTTGGGGTACAGTTAAGCTGAAGCAAGGAAAACAGGTATATGCTGTCTTTGGCCCTGGAGGAGCCACTCTGTGGACAGCTGGTAATAGGCCTTGATGCTTTGAACAGCTGACTGTCTTGGGCAATGATGCCCCATGCCCCCACCCCCTCTAACCTGTTCCAAGTCCTGAGTGCCCAGATACCATCAGGCCCCAGCTTGAAGAGGTGTTTCAGTAAATTCCTCAAGGGCGTAGGCTCCTGAAAGAGTGGAGAAAATGAATCCAACGCCTCTCTGTTTGCACCTTGGAGTTGGTGCCATTAGTGCCCTGCAAAGCTGCAATCTGCTAATTGGCAGGCTCCAGGGCTGGGTTCTACAGCACATTCCACCATCCACGTTCACCTTGCTCCTGCCTCGTATTCATTCATCTGGCCTTTGTGGAGTGTCTCCCTCCACCCACACCAGTCACAGGAGGCAGAGGGAGGGCCCAGCAGGGTGCAAGGAGTTGGGGTATGCACATATCAGCCTGCAGGCAGCTTCCAGCACTGTTTGTGCATGGCGGGGGCCAGTAGGTTGCCCTTCCTTTGTGATCTGAGAGAGAGAGGCTACATCTTTGCATTCAATCAAAAGAGATAGATACTCCATCCAGTAGGGGCTGTTGCTCCAGGTACCAGAGTGTGTGAGCTGGGATCTGAATTCTGAGCTGTGAGTTCCAAAGTCTCAGGTATGAGAGAAAAGAGAGGGCTTGGAGGGTGCCATCCTTCTGTCGGGCTTTGAAGGATGCTGGGTGTGCACTGGGGCAGGCTGGTGAGAGTGCCTGCCCAGCCCCAGGCCAAGGAGACAGAGCCAGGCAGAGGGCCCCTACCATCCCTTGCCCTTTCCGGTGTATGTGTCCTACTTTCCCACTTCCTGTAGGAACTTGCACAGCTTAGTTAAGCTCTGGTGTGCTTTCCTGTCTGTGAAATGGGAATGGTTTGGGTACTCAAGCAGGCTGTGGGTGTACAGCATTCAGACATTGGATAAGCATCCATTGAATTTTGGCCACCGTGTTCATTATCCATATTATTTCACTTAAGTGCAAGTAATCTGACACTCTGTATAATTTACTTAATTAGTATGCTTTTTCTCTTTCCCCCCACCATTAGTACCTGGGCTCCCAAGGGCAAGAATTTGTATCTGGTGTATGCATGGTTACAGTTCTAGTGCTTGGGCCAGATACATTCCTTAGGACTAAATGCCTTTTGAAGTCTGTCCAGGGAAGCCCATGGCATAGTGAATGAATTCCCCAGCTCTTCCTCCCCTCTGCAGGTTTTCAGCCCTCAGTGGAGAATTATCCCACCTCTGACCTCGGGTTTACTGTTTCAAAGTTGTTTTAGTGGCTGGGGGGGGGGGGGGGGGTGCAAGGCAGAAGCAGAATCTTTTTCTTTTTTTATAATTTATTTTATTGTTGGTGTTGTTTCCATAGTTGACAAGGATGCATGCCCATGAGGACCACTGATTTGGGCGGGAGGCTCCAGGAGGAGGGGAATGAATCTCAGCCTTAAATGATTGCTGGCATTCACTTTGCTCCTGTGACATTTTCTCATTATTAGCTGTATTGTGCATTTGTAGAGCTGGCCTCGTGACCTAGATCCGTGGGCGTTGCACCCAGTTCCGGCTGGCTTGGGGCCAGCTGCACCTGCTACCTTGTGTCCTGGAGGGGGGAGGGCACAGATGACAGCTCTGGGGCAGTCCCTGCGTCCCAAGCCCAGTGAAGCTTGAAGGCTTCCTGGCTCAAGACGAAACCCGCAAACCTAACAGGTCCACCCCAGCCCTGCAATAGGGCAGCTGTGCACTGGGTCTGCTGACTTGGCCTCCCTCAGTCTCGGCTTCTTTAGTCTAAGGAATGGCGGGTGACCTTGGGTGTCTCTCCTGGTAGAGTGGCTGGTGGGATAGGGGAGAGGTATCTGAGAGAGATACACAGATACACAGGTGGTGGAGCCCCTTGTTTTCAGGATGGCAGCAGCAGAACATGAAACCTCGGATGGTCGGTGCTGAGCAGGTGGCCATGCAGGACTGCACAGGTTGTTTGCTTTGCCCGTGACCATGGGCCTACTGTAGTGTCTCTGGGTTAGTTTCCTTTGCCCTTCACTGTAACCTTCCAGATGGTCTCTCCCCCTCCAAGAGATCCCAAGACTAACCTCAGGACCCCCAACCCAGCTTCCTAAAGCTGATTAAAGAAAAAAATTATTTATTTATTTATTTGAAAAACAGAGTTACAGAGATAGGAAAAGACAAAGAGAGGTTGGTCTTCCATCTGCTGGTTCACTTCTCAAATGCAGTGGCCAGAGCTGAGCTGATCTAAAGCTGGGAGCCAGGAGCTTCCCCTAGTTTTCTGGGTGAGTAGGGCCTTGAACCATCCTCACTGCCTGCCCAGGCCATAAGCAGAGATCTGGATTGGAAGTGGAGCTGCCAGGACATGAATTGGCACTCATGTGGCATGCGGCACTGCAGGCAGAGGCTTAGCCAGCCCCTGATTTTTCTGTGTTCTGATTGCAGCTTTCGAGTGGGTCTCCTTGATCCTAGGATCATGTCTGACCTCCCTATAGGGCCCCTGTGGCCCCCTCTTGCCCCTCACTCCTCATACCAAGCTTAGCCCTGGCTGTTGAAGGGAACTCCACACACACAGGGAGAGGAGAGCAGCAGACCTGAATGCGTGCCTTGCTGCCCTGCCTCGTTACACAACAAACTCCAGGAAAACAGCAAGAACCACTCTAAAACACATTTCAGAAAATATAAATAGACTCGACAGGGCAAACAGAAATACAAAGTGAGGCCACAGAGAGTAGTATGTGGAAGAGCCAGAGTTTTGTATGTGTTGAACAGTTACTAGTACCAGGCATGGTTTGTAAGAATCTTGTTGACGGTCACTTCAAAAGGCGTGATAGAGTGGGACTGGTGTCTGACATGAATCAAGACACCATGGGACGTCTGAGTTCGTATCCTGGTTCTGCTTCCAGTTCCGGCTTCCTGCTCACGGGCACCCTGAGAGACTACAGGTAATGATGAACCAAGTACTTGGGTCCCTGCCACCCACCTGGGAGAACTCGATTGAGCTCCGAGCCCGGCTCTTGCCTGCTGGGAGGCGACTAGGAAGAGAGCTGGTGGATGGAAACTCGCTCTGTCTCTGTGCCTCTTCAAAGTAATGGTGATTTTAGTTCAGGATCTTAGATGTTTCTGGAAAGAGGCCGTGAAAAGATACATTCATTTTGGTACACAATCGTGGGAAATCTGTACTGCCTTGTTTCACACCTGACATTTTCCATGAATGTTTTGGGCACCCTCTCCTGTATAAACTCACTTGATAACTGCCCCCTTCCATCCCGCTACCCCCAAGGCAGGTGTTCTTGCCCCTTTTCCAGGTGAACCAGGTGAAATGCTGTGGAGCAGGGATGTGCTTCCTCGA